TTCGGGTGTCGGACGTACGTCCTAACTCCGAAGGAGAAGCAACTCAAGTGGGATCCCAAGGCTCGCGCTGGTGTTTTCGTGGGCTACGAAGAAGTGTCGAAGGCGTATCGAGTTTATGACATCGAGGCGGGGCAGGTGGTGATTAGGTCGCGATATCACCTTCGACGAGTCAAGTTTTGGTCTCTCGACGGGAAGTTCAAGTGATGATGGAGATGCTGACCTGGACTTCCCTCGAGATCAACGACACTGAGGCTGCTGGCCCGACGGGGTTCAAGCAGGCGTGGAAACGCAAGACCCGTTCAAGTGATGTGTAAGGTGCCTCAGCAAGTTCGCGTTCTGGGTGACAAGCAACTGGAACCGGTAATCCTCACTAGTTTGCTAAACAGGGCCATTGACCGGTAATGCATGTCGCATAAAGTCTTGTAATTAAAATGGGATCAAACGCAGTAACCCGTTACCGGTTATGAAGTAAGCTAATGTAGTTGCCTCCAACCACAGTTCCCATGTTATTACACGCACCCGTCGTAACCCACATTCGTATACGGGGTTTCCTCCGGGCGACCGTCAGGTCACGGTTTCGACGGCGGGCTCCCAGCAGCTCAAGCATCACGTAACGCCCAACCAGCGCCACCCCCATGGGCCCGGCAGACCACTCGTGTTTGGCCGGGCCTGTTGCCTCTTCAGCCATAGCACGGATCCAGCCACGGCATCTCTGACCAGGGGAAAGGGGTTGCAGAGAGGCAGCGCCAAAACAACCGGGGCTCCGGCAAGCCACAGGCCCCTCCCCACCGGTACATGCACATATTGTCGAGGTGGAGCTCCCTCACCGCAAGGAATACGTTCCTCACTCTCGAGATCCACACTGTACGGCCTAGAGACTTGCCCGTAGCGGTGCCCCTCGAGCCCCCGTGGTTTCTCTCCACTGTCCAACCACCCTACAAGGAATGCAGCACTCTGTGCCACCCGCGCTTTTTCGCGCCTACCAGCTGGTCGCACTCTCGCTCTAGCCGACCGATCTTCGTTGTCTGTCAGGTGGAAATCCAGTCGCTTCGGCGCAGCCTCGTAGATTTAGCCTTGATCTGCTGCTAATCAGTGCCAAAATCGCAACTGAGGGTCGAGTCTACCACACCTCAGCTCGTAGTCCTGTTAGCCACTTCCCCGTTGCCTAGCTACCTATAGACTACGGCGCCTTCTACCTCTACTTGGGGCCTCTTCGAATCTCATCACCCTTGTCGTTGCGTACCCACCGCACACTGCCGTCCTTGGTATCGCCTCGCGTTCTCGCATACTTCCGCTCTGTCCACTTCGCCCCTTTTGCGATCTTCTCGAGATCCGGAGTGGTGACCGCAGTCTGCTGACTCGCTACCGCCACAATCCACACAACTTGTAACCGTCGTCGACTGTGTGCTTCACCTCAGTCGACCGTCAGGTCGATGACCTCTGGTTCCTGTTCTTGTCGCCCTTGTCTGTCATCCCTGAGACGCGGCCTCTGCCTACACTAAGACTAGGGGTTGTCACGGTTAGAAGGTAGGTTTCAGCAGCGAATCAGAGCAAACCTACCTGTCCCGTCCTATTCAAGCCAAACCTTCCCAAAAAATAAAACAGGAAGGTTTGGTTGAGACTTGCAGTTTTGACATGATTGGTTGAAAGTCACATTGGAAGATTTGATTTTGATTTGATTGGCCGTAAGGAAATCACTTTCGTAATCACAAATATGTATCATACATGTAGCCCGCGACGCTTGCCATCGTAGTGTCACACTGCCGCAAGGAAAACATGCCACTAACTACTGCCACAGTAGAAATAATGATGCCTAACGCAGTCGCTACCAACTGCCATGATACCTGCATCGCTAAACTACTGGGGAAATTGCTGCATGTGCTTAAACATGACACGAAGGGAAGGACTCCAGACCTCTGTCATTCAAATAACAGCCAGTAAGTGTGCACCAATGTACTTTTCTGTACTCCGTGGGGGCACTCACAGCTAAGAAGTGAAGGTTTAATTTGATTGACAGGACAAAGATTCATACATTTCAACCGTGAAAACCCCTATATTAAAGTATTTTTTTACAAAAAATATTTGATGTTTTTTTTCTTTACAAAAATAAGCATCATTTACTTCCGCGTTTCTTGAAAAAGATCATTGTAATACATAGAAGTAAAAACGATAAAGTCAGGACCTAATCAGGACCTTGGACCTTGATATCTCCAGATACCAGCCGTTTTCGGCTGATATCTTGAAGATATCAGAGAAAGGTCATGACCTTAATAGAGCATTTTTATTGGCTCAAAGTACGATTCTCTCCCAAGCACTTCGGACAGAACAAAACTCCAGCCACTGAGCCAGTGCGTCACTTGACGCCGAAGCAGCCGCGAGATACAACCACGAAGAAGCCCCAATTAGCCCAAAGGTCTCAATACCAGTGTATGAGCCGATGAGGAGCTGCCTTAACTTCAAGAGCACCGAAGCCAAGCATTAGCGGCCGCATTGCAGCCGCACGCTCGGTTTGAGCCACGCAGAAGCGTCTACAGTTCTCAGGTTCCCGGTATCAGAATTGCTAACGGATGTGAAGGCACTTCAGATCCTCATACTCCATCATTTTGCTCCGACACGAAGGCCGCTGACTCAGGTTTGAAATGGTAACTTCGTGCAATACGAAACGTTACACGTATTGACACACAGTGACATACATTAATGACGATTGTTTTTCTTTTTGTACTGCAGATGTATGGAGCTTATTGTTGTACGACGCTAGTAAGAAGCAAGTTCTTCCACAAAGAACAGCGAGCCGATAATGGTTGAGCGCAAACTTAGTACGGGAACATGTTTTGACTGTGCTTTGAAAATGATTGTTATTATGCAGACTAATATTCACGATATTTTTCTTTTGCTTAAGTGCTTCGAGAACGCATCAATGCTTCTTGTTCCCTTCTCAGCTTCGGCAATATTGAGCGCACTCTCAACTGTGGAGCCTTGGTTTATTAAGAAGCGTACGTACTTGATCACACAGTGTCTGCGAGAGTAAAACTTGGATTCTTTTGATGATAGCCGCCATTTTCGCCCGTATTTTTTCTCTAGCGACTCAATTGATGGCCGATTAGACAGACCGACGTGCCATTCAGTCCAGAGCTCGCGTACAGTGCTGACACCTCTGCTCATAGAATACCGCTGTGCGTCACTAATGGTAGGTTTGTGAGTAACTCCACTGGAAGAACGGTATGGAACTGACTGTTGGCTGTGAGCAGACTCAGCTGTATCAAGATTTATGTTGGTGCTAGTGACACTCGCGCTTGCGTTATCAATAGGTACAAGACGGAATGCCATGTCTCCTTGTAATAATGAGGTGAGGTTATTGTTTGTTTGTGCTAAAAGTTGCGTAATCTCGTTATGGCGAGTCTCTAATTTTTGCATCACTGCTGCATGTTGTGTAGATATTTGTGTTGAAAGCAATGGCATTGCATTTTGGAGTTGCATTTGAATAGGAGCTGTAGCGCTTGCCGCTCCAGCCAGCGCTTGCGTACGAAACAGTTAAAAAAATTTCGCCAAAAAGCGAAGTTTGTCGAAACTGGGCAGGAAGGTCGTCGAGCAACACAGCACAGTCTTGAAGCAGAACAACGCGAAGGTACAGAAGCAAGTCAAGAAATCCACGAGCAGCCAGATTGTCTTCCCAATTTCCATCTAAGATCTGCTTTTGGCAATGTTCGACTTCAGGAAATACTAGCCGCTGAAGCTCTAACGGTGGATCGACTGAGGCACGTTCGAGGAAGTAAAAACGAGATTTAGGAGGGTGTCCAGAAAGAGCACGCATTGCTTCTCGAGCTAGTGGGGCCGCATATATGGCCTCGCATGTATCCATTCCCCATCGTCCATGCCGACGAGTCTGAGAAATGTCTACGTCAGCGCACTCGAGCTGCCGCACTCCCTGCTGACGATTGATATGCGTTTTTTTGTTAAATGATAGACCCAAATGCTTGAACACGGCCTCGTAGCTCTTTTTGTGTGTATCGTAAGTGATAGCCTTTGTCCGCTGACGTCCTCGTAGAAACTTCAAGTCATACCAGTCTTGAGATTTAGCAAAGGACGGGAAGGGCTCTCGATCTACGTGAAAAAGATGAAAAAAATAAAATGCGGCTGCGCCAACTGGACAAATGCGTACGTCCTTGTTCCGCATGTAGCCAACGTGCTGCATCTTACCGAAAGTGTTCGTCTTTCCATGTTGAATTAAAAGCACGAGAGCTGTACAAGTCTGGTATCCCTCTCCATCCAACTTCTGAGAGAACATATCAGCAAACTCTAAATCGCGAACATTTTCGCCACGTAACAATCCAAAATGAGAAAGTAAGAAGGCGACGCGTCCTCGCAGGTCATTGAGTGTTAGGAAGGCGTCACAAATTTGTTGGAATTGCTGAACCGACGAATAGCCATCCAGCAATGAGCCAATTCCCCTGTCCTCGTAATTCTTTTTCTTGGTTTGAGTAGTCGTGGCCTGGACATTTTTTATCAGTTGCTTCACAGCAGTGGTTCGCGGGTGTGGGTTCGAGTTTGTACGAAGTGTAACCTGCTGGTTGTACAGATCTACAAGTGCGTTTACATATCCACACACAGTGGAGCCTCCAACGGTTTTTTCAGCATTCTTCTTAGACTTTCGCCCGATCACCATGCTAGACAGAAACAAATGTAGCTTTCCACCGGTCACAGTGTCTTTATCTTGGAATCCGCGAGAGGTGCACCATTGCACAAACTCGTTTTGGTAGCCGTCGTATTTCCGCTTAGTGTTGATAGGTCGAGTGTCAAGTGTTGTCTGTATTGTAGCCCGCTCACTTTCATCAATTTCAAGTTGTACATCAACACCACTAGCGCTGGCCCCTTCATATGCTAATCTGGTGGCCACTGCAGCTGCATAGGAACGGATTGAAACCCCGGAGCGCCGCTCCATGATGCTGTACGCTGTTGTACGTTTTCTTTTTATGAACAAGATTATCTTCGCGAAAAACAGATACCTCAATTAGGTCCTAAAATTAGTATTGACTCGGGTCAGGACCCATAGTAATGCTAGCATGATACTCATTAAGTATCAGAGATTTCAAATCACACATCTGACCCAAACATGGCCACTCGAGAAAAAGTTGACCCAGACACGATCCCTCCTGATATTTGTTTTTGCGACTCAATAAATAATGCTGTTGCGTTTTTTCGTAAACAAAGTTTATTGTTCCTCATCGCAAGATGACTAAGATATGATCTCGGAGAATCTGATCGCTGAATACCAAAAATCTGACTTCGAGATTGTCCATCGAGCTACAGCGCTAGATTATCCAGCCAACCGTTGATATTCCAATCTTCTTCTACTAGCACTTGATTTATGAGCTTACCACAAACGTCCGTAATGGCATCATGAGAATTCACCACGAAATTTGTTAGTGCTCCAACTTGCAGCTCTTGGTCAGCAATATCATCTTGCAATTCCACCCTCATCCTACAATATGACCGCAGCGATGTTGACATCATGGTCTTCGAAGTATCAATGAGACCGGATTGTGCGTCTTCAGGTGAGATATTAACTCCTCGAAGGACAATCCATCCCACCTGATTACACCACAGTCCACTGAGCTTAACGCCGTTGATCTCAACAGGTTCGGTGAGTGACTTCCACACAATCATGACACTGTCGTTGTCTACATACTTGCGGTACGTCTGTTTACCTCGCACATTTGACTGAAAAGATCCCGCATTAAAATCAAGTGCATACGAACGAGCCACCAGGTTTTCGGTTGCGACTCTTTCCTCATGGAAATAGCTCATTTTACTCGGTCCTTCCTCCGCGAATGCTCTCCAGAAGGCCCTTTCCGTCACATGGACATCAAACGGCAGCATGGAACTCGCCTTTGTCACAAACGCAACGCCTGTATCCGATTCCGAGTCACTCGTCACCCGCAAGTTGCAGAATGATGCTGTTCGATCTGCAAACTCGAGTCCGCCGAATATGTTATCCGCGTCAAGATGTGCGCGTTCCACGTGTGCCAATTGATCCGCAAAAATCTCATCGTCCGTTGGAGCCACAGTCGGCAGTTTGAAGCGCTTGTTGTCCGCCAATTCAGCCACCTCCTCGTCCCTCGGACGCTTGCGCAGCAGCCGCTCCAGCTTGGTGGCGAGTTTCAGCTGGCCCTCTAGAGATGCTCTGAGTTTCTGGTTCTTCTCCTCTGCTCGCGCTCTTTCTGTTTGCTGTCGCTCCGCAATGCCCTTCCAGATTGACATCTCAGCATTGACAGCGGTTGTGTGACCCGCGTCCTCCCTCTGTCTAGTCTTGAGCTGCGTCATCTGCTGCTCCAGCTTTCCTACCAGACCCCGAAGGTACTCGAGCTCCAGTTTCTGACGTCGAATGCGCTTCTTCTTGGGTTTAGCAGGGGGTTCTACTGCGCATGGCTGCTGGGTGTGGAGAAGCTGCTCTTCCTTCATGATGGAAGCGCTGCACTCGGCGGAAATCGAGGACTTCGTGCAAAGCCAACTGGCTGCTCATCGTCATAAGAAAAAAAAGGTTTATTAACAAAGTGCTTTCTGAAAAAATCCGTGCTAAAACTTTGTTTTTTTTTGTTTTTGTTGGGAAAAAAGCACTGTAACGAAAACGGTTTGGGAACAAAAGTTCTTTTTTTTAGAAATCTGGGCTTGATTAAATAAATGCTTCTTCAGAAAATCTAGCACTCGACCTAATTATTTTGGATTTTCAAAACTAGATAAATTTCTATCTAAATTAAAAAAAAATACGAGAGATGGCTATTCACTCCTTAGCTCTGCTGCAAGCCCCACCAACCGTTGACGTTCCAATCTTCCTCAACAAGAACATTGGTGATCATCTTTCCACACACTTCCGTCAGTGTGTCGTGCAGGTTGACCACAAAATTAGTAAGCGCACCAACTTGAAGGTCTTGATCCGTAATGTCATCCTGAAGCTCCATAGTCATCTTGGAATACGACAGTAACTTCGTCGACGTCACAGAGTTGGATGGAACATTACAGAAAACCGGATCAAAATCGGAAGTGCTGGAAGTACCGATGCTGACACCGCGAAGCACGATCCATCCCGTTTCATGACATCGAATTCCTCGAAACTTTGTGCCGTTGACCTCCACCGGATCTACGACCCATTTCCACATGATGACGACTCGGTCGTCCGCAACACATCTCCGATATGTCTGTTTCCCGAGCACATTTGCGTGGAAGTTGTCAACTCGAAAATGCAATCCATACGAGCAAACCTCCACGTTGTCTGTTGTCAGGCGTTCATCGAGAAAATAGCTGTCTTTCTTAGTTCCTTCTTCAGCCAAAGCGCGCCATAACGCCTTCTCCGTCACCTTGATGTCGAACGGTATCAGTGAGCTTGCTTTCTTCACAAACGCAACTCCAGTGTCTGAATTTGAGTCATTCATGACTTGCAATTTGTAGAATGAGGCAGATTGGTCTACAAACTCCGGTGTGCCAAAAATTCGATCCACTTCCGAGCTTGCAAGTTGTACGTGTGCCATTTGATCGGCAAAAATTTCATCGTCCGTTGGGGTCAACGAAGTGCTGACAAAGGGCTTGAGCCGCTTAGAGTCAGCTAGGATCTCCGTTTCCTGCATCCACAAAATATCGTTAAACTAACGCAGTAACTCTATTTTCCAGCTGACTCACACCTCGTCTAGCGGTCTCTTGTGCAACAGTCCTTCCAGCTTCTTGGCGAGCCTGATTTGTCCCTTGAGTGAAGAACGCAGTTTTTGGTTCTTTTCCTCCACTCGAGTTCTCTCCTTCAGTTGTCGCTCAGCAATCCTCTTCCATATCGATGGAGCGTGGTCAACTGTTTCCTTCAAGCGATGCTCGCTTCTTGGAGCTGGCTTAGCCTTGAGCATCGACATTTGCTCCTCTAAACTAACCACTAATTTCCGCAGGTACTCGAGTTCCAGCTTTTGTCGTCGGATTCGCTTTTTCTTGGGCTGTGATGGTGCTTGTACACAGGGGCCTCCCTCAGTCATATTTGACATCGACACCGTTGACAACGTGTAGAAGTCGCTAGAAGCCGACGGCATCTCTTTCCGTGCTCCATTTTGAGCGGAGGACGCACCACTCGACTGGCAGCTGGGGTCCGCACGAAACGGGGAGTTCATCTTGGTGGTGGAAATGCTTTTTCGTTCTGAACTTGGATCGAACGAGTGGATGCGGTAAAAATCCACAAATGACGATTACAACGGATGCAAGGACGCGATGTTTATCGCATGTTGTCATCATGGTCGAGGTGACGGTGAGCGAGCGATCAACAGCACGAGCATAATTGTACGTACACCAAAACTGATGTCGACCAGCTGCCTCCATAAGTTCTCAGCCTCAATTGATGCTCATACGCCCATCGATGAAGCAGAGAGTATGGCAGGGAAAGTTTACTTGCACGTACCGTAGCGTCAACAAATCCTCGACAGGAAAATCCAAAAGTTTCGGGCTATTTACAGCATACTGTAGTGTATTTTACCGTTTTTTAAGGTTATCTAAAACCAAAGGTGATTCTCTATGAAATGAAAATGAAAAAAAAAAATTACTCTCCTTAGCCTCTACAAGGCCTGCGCATCACTCCCGTATGCTGCTTTCCAGTCTTCCTCCAACAGAAGCTCGCGCACCATCCTGCAGTAAATTTCGTTCGTCTTGCTGTGTGCTTTGGTCATCGAATCAAGGAGCGCGTGGATCTGCCAGTTCTGGTCTTCAACCCCCTCTTTAAACAATGGAGTCATCTCGGAATACATTTCAACCCAAGTTGCACCTGCGGGTTGCCCTGCTACTCGTTGAAGCTTTATCCAACCAGTTTTTCTGCACTGCATTCCCGAGAACTTGGTGCCGTTAAGTTCGATGGGGTCAGCATACCCAGTCCACACAATTGTCTCGCTGTCGTTATTGATATACCTCCTGCAAGTTTGTTTCCCACGCACAGTTGCTGTAAACCCTTCACATGCCACCTGCAAGTTGAATGAAGCCGAGGCAACATCTCCTTTTGCGTCCAAGTCCTGGGAAGCGAGAGAGAGCGCACAATAATTTTCTAAGAGACTGGTAAAAAAAAAGAGAGAGACTGCTTTTCGTACCTGCTGTAGAGATCCTTGCCGGTGGAATGCTTCGTGCGCAGTCAAGCGCCAGTATGCATTACCTGCAACGTGGACGTCGAAAGGAATCGAGGTACCACAACGCATCTCGAATACAACCCCTGCAGCACTGGTAGGGTTTCTCTTCAAGACGTCAACACCTTGCGTGAGATCGTTGGCGAGTTGCAGAGCATGCCTGGGCGGCGCGGTCTGTTGTTGCATCTGCAAACACATTTTTGCCACTTGAGTGAGTTGCTCCGCATATATGTCAGAGCTTTCATCCGACAGTAGATCCCACAGCCTTGCGGACTTGCGTTTCATCAGTGCAGATAATTTCTTGTCTTCTGCGCATAGTCTGAGTTGTTTCTTCAGCTCCTGCACAAGTTTAGCCTGCACCGAGCAGGCGGCCCTTAATTCCTTCTGCATCAGTTCACCATGAAGCCTTTCTTTTAATTGTCGCTCCGCGATACTCTCCCACACCGACGGGCGTGCCGTTTTGTAGTTGGCACAGACGATCGAATTCGAGTCGCGGTTGGCAGGCACTCGCTTCTGAATCTGCTCCAGCCTGAGCTCGAGTTTGCGGGCCTGCTCGCGTAGGTACTTAATCTCGCGAGTTTCACGTCGCACACGTTTCTTCTTCTGCTTTGGCGGCGCTGGCCCCAGCATTGGTTTTGGCTGGCTTGAGTGGGTTTGCGGGGGAGGTGAAGACGCGTCAGAATTAACTTGAAGGGAATTGTGGAGCTCTACACCCCCAGACAAAGACGGTGTTGCTTGAATGAGGGCATCCAGAAGCCCGTCGAGCAACTCTGCTGAGCTCATTACGCTTTAGTGACGTAACAAAGAGTGTCGCTTTGTGGGACGTTAATGCAGAGCTGTCTATCCCGGCCCATGATAGGTCACGTTGGCATCAACTTTTGGTAGCGTAATCGGAATAGTGGGTTCTAGTTAAAGTCGCAAAACCTATGATGATACATATTCGTTTGGTTAGGAGACTCGAAGTCAAACAAAAATAGAAGGCGACAGTTCATCGCTAACGTTAGGAGTGTTGTGAATGTTCTCAGCTGCATTCAGGGTTGGAAACGGGAAGCGTAGAATAGAGTTCTAATTTTGCAGATTGTGTTATTAAGCAGACTGAGTACCTTGTCGTTGTGGAAAAATCTAACTAAACATAAACGATGAGAACAGTTTTTTTTTTCAATTTAAAGCACAGAACTCTGACTGATGAGAACAGTTTTTCTATTTATAGTACAGTACTCTGACTGTATAATTGTATTGGGACACCCTCACTGAGTGACACGCATGTGGGCTCTGGGGGCACTTTGACACTGCAGCTATTCGTACAGATAGGTCTAATTTGGCAATGACACTCCTGACCTTCCTATCCGCCTTTGACTTGGGCGGCTCATGGTTGGCAGGCAAACGAGCAACCCCTCAAAAAGTTAATTAATTCGAAATGCGGAGGGACAGTTTTGTAGTGTCCCAGACCCATTCAAATGGTTTGAGAATTGTATTGACAAGATCGGAAAGTTGGCCGGATTTACAATATTAACCCTTGAGCTTCGTGGTCGACTTTATCTCGTTGCTCCAACGATGTTTTGTCCAGTTACGTTGTGCGTCGTGTAAATGCATATTACTCGACGCGAAGAATGGTTCGTGATCATAATTTTATGCACTGGATACGTACTACGACAGACTTACCTCAGAAAGCAAATTCACTTTTAATCTGGCACATCAGCAAGCAAGTTAAGACATCATGCCACGTTGGACGAGCTGGAAATGCTTCGTTACCGTCGCAACAATTCTTTCTGTGACGATGGCTAAAAAATCTTACTCGACTCAATCGAGCGTTTTGCCGTGGGTGGATGTCGACACACCAGAAAATGCCCACACTCATAAGTCATCTCGCGGACAGACCTGGTCGCTGGTCATGAGCGACGAGTTCAATCAAGAAGGCCGCACGTTTGAGGCAGGTGCCGACCACCTCTGGACGGCAATCGAGAAACCCGACGGTGTGAACGCGGCGCTGGAAAT